TAATGATCACAATATAAGCCCAACATGCTTGTTTACTTTTTCACTATATTAGATATTGCATTGGGACACAAATGGGATTTTGAAAAGTCAGGGGAACATGTTTCCTCACACCGGTTCCCAGTAAAAGTTACACCCCTGATACGCTTTATATCAATTCTTTGTGTTTTTGTGTGTGTGTGTGTGTGTGTTTGTGTGTGTGTGTGTGTGTAACATACATAGTATATATGGTGTCTTTTATCTGTAAAACATGACAACATACAAATATAGGTTGTAATTTTCACACTTGTAAGGCAGCTATTTAAAGTCTATAATGTATTTGTATAAGGTAGCAGGACCTGATCAAAAAAAATTAATCTACGTGTGTATATAAATATACGTGTAGTACATGTAAAGTCTACATTTTACAGGGATTAACAGAAGACAACTGCCATTTATTAATACTATATCATATACTAATAATCTTGTTAGACGACTATAAAACAATAATCATTTTATGACTGACTTAGACTGTATAGACTGTAATTAATGATCACATTATAAGCCCAACATGCTCATTTACTTTTCCACTATATTAGATTTTGCTCATATGTCAGTAAAAAGTTTAATCATTGGAAATATAATATAGTTTGATCAAACAAACAACTATAAATCATAAATCCAGAGAAACTGAGGAGTAATTGTACTTTTTGCCACATCTGCAGTGAAGTAATTTTGTTTTTTAATAACTGCTGCTGACATTTGTTTCTAAATGTATAATAAATATTTTTGGCAAAATATTTAAAAAGGTGGCATGCTGTCATGTTTATATTCATTTCAAACAACACAATATCAATAATTAAAGTTAAAAACAGTTAAATAAAAAGGAATATTCACTGTAATAATGCGAGTTTCAGTGAATAAAATGGAAACAATTACCAATAACCAATTGTCATTTTTTGCAAACATAGGTACAGTTCTAAATGACAACATTTTCATTAGAAATCTGGAAGGAAATCTTATATATACAGTGCTTAGCATATATAAGCCCACCCCTCTCAAATCTATCTTTGAAACTCATATTTTTAGTAGGAAGCTTTACAGTATTATATTTGTGTATATACATTAGATTAGTCAGTACTGACGTCAAATCTGGAACAAAATAACTTACAATAACGGTACAAAAACTAGTACACCCAAATTCATGTTACAGAAAAAAAAACATTAAATACAAATTTAAAAAAAAGGAAAAATCTAGAAGCAAAAAAATAGAAAAATTAGCTTTTGAAAAGTTGTATTGTTTTTTTTTTTGCTTTTTTTTGTTTGAATTTAATTGTATTATCTTTCAATTTCTAAATATGTTTGATGACTATATTTAATATACTAATTTTATATATACTATATATTTACTATATTTAATGACTAATATTATTTTAAGAAATATATGTTTAATAAATCTGTTTTGTTCAAATGCACCATAATACATTGCCTATATTCACTGAGAAATGGATAAACATGTTCATTTTCAAAATGGGGTGTACTCAATTATGCTGAGCACTGTATAAGATATAGAAGCGATACGTAAAATAAGATATATTACAAAATAAAAGCATTTTCAAGTAAATGGTTACTTAATTAGCAAAAACACAGCATCTTTTACATGCATTTGGTAAAAATAAATATTAGCAGTTCATAAAGTTTATATAAAAATAACAAATATTTAATTAGGATTTTCTTTTATCAGTTTCTTAAAAAGCCCAATGTCTTCAATATCTACATGAAGCTTATTCATGATCTCTAACTAACTGATCTCTGACTAAAATTCTGTGTATAAACTCAAGCACGCAGCTCATCTTCACATGTCTGTGTCGTCATCAAGAAAAATCGCAACCCTCTCTGAATCTCAGCAAGGCTGAGTGCTTTGTTTCTGAGCCAAAATGGAGACGGCCTTTGCCACACGTCCCCGTTCATTTGTTATGTGTTAAATGTGGATTGCGCTCTGCGCGGGGAGCCCTCCGGAGCCATGCCGGTTCAGCAGCATGTGTGTGTAATCCCTAAGCAACGCTCACTCAGGAGGAGGCAAAACATTTCCATAAAAATGTACCAAACAGTTAGCCGATTGTTCTCAATAAGCAGGTGTTGCCTTTGCTGAGCATGGAGAGGAATGCTTAAGTGGTTTTAGGTAGAGAACATGTTTTGTCTCTCTAACACTCTGGGTATAGTCAGTCTCTCGCTCTTTTTCTCTTTTCGTGCAGGCTGGATTGTGCCTTCAACCGTTGTTAGCATATATTACGCGGTGGCAATGCAGATTCAGGCATGAATGTGTTACATTGTACCATCATGCATAACAATATCACCTTATGTCAGATTTTTCATATCATCATCTTCTCTTTGTTCCAGCTGCTTGTATGACAGCGGTGTGAAAAACAGGGCCCTCATGGTGTTTGCTTGTGATTGCTTTGAATAAAATGTTATATCTGAGTTCCACCAGCACAGTGGTGTGTCAGATTATCTTGGTCTTAGTGAAAGATTGAAACAATGTTCTGCGGTGATGAGTCTGATATTGTATCTGTCACACGCTGGTATATCAGGTCTGTTTGTTATGAACTGGCCGTGTCGTGATCAAACGATATTTGTCAGTATCGCAGTGACTCACAAATTATGCGTGTGCATGACCAAAGATGAAGGACTGGTGAAATTATCACAGCATATTCATTTTTATATACCATAGGAATCTATTGCATTGTACTTTGGCAAGGTTTAATAATCCAGGGTTGATCGATGATTATGTGTTAGCTCTTTTGTTAATAATTTGAGCTGTAGGATAAACATGATCAGAGATTATATGTTTATTCTTCTTATAGATTTAGACAAGGTCTGGTGGAAAACTTACATGGTTAGCTTTGGTAAATATTTCATGCTCGTGATATTCAGTTAATTTGGTCAGTTTCTAACTTACAATATATGATGACATTAGAAATATACTGTAGCAATGTTTCAGATGATAACTGACCAGAGAAACACTTAGGGTGTAAGTTTTCCAGGTTAAGATGTTTATGTGTATCTTAGAGCAGATGTGTTGCCAGGTACATTATAGCAAAAGCAGTGCTGTTGATTGTACATCACAAAGAGCTGGTTTTCTTTAGATGTATACTCTTTTGTATGAAAAAAAATTCCAGCAATTGTTTGAACTGAATTTCACTGTATGGACACAAATAGTACGTATTCAGTTCCTATTACGTTTTTAGGAATCCTATCTTGAAACATTATTGACACTGACTACGATAAAATATTTTTTAAGTCACAAAAATGTTCAAAAGACATGTAATAAACCCCAGCAACTCTCCTGGGTCTTTCCAAAGAGTATTTCCATGAATGCCCTATAAAGGGTTAATCTAGGGGGTCTGGGGACCCCAGGGGTCCTAAGGGAGTGCTTAAGGGTCAATGGCAATGTTTTGAGAAAAACATTTAAAAAAAAACATAAAAATGCAATTATTTATAACTTTTTTTTTTAAATATGTAAATAAATATTGTAATAAGATAAATAAACACATATGGTATAATATAAAACAAATACAATTAAAAAATCTTAAATAAGATTCAAATAAATTATCCATAATATTATTCAAAATTAAATTATCTTAAAATATGTAAATATATATTGTATAAAGACAAATAAACACTTATAGTATGATAAAAAATAAATTAAATTAAAAAATAATAAACAAAAATTAAATAAATGATCCAAAATATTATTAAAATAAAAAAGCTTGATTAAAAAAGAAAAAAATCTTGTTAAATTGAATTGTATATAATTGAATTAGATTATTATTAATATTTAACTTGATTAATATTAATAAATATTAATAAACATTTAATAATAATTTTTCTGGCATGCTGTATGCTAGATAGATTTTGGGTTGGTTTCAATGTATGCGTGTTGCATACTTTGATTAATTAATTAACATTATATACATATACATTTGAAGTCAGAATAATTAGCCCTCTTCGATTTTTTTTATTTTATTTTCCAAATGACGTTTAACAGAGCAAGGACATTTTCACAGTATGTCTGATAATATTTTTTCTTCTAGAGAAAGTATTTGTTTTATTTCGGCTAAAATAAAAGCAGTTTAGAATATTTTATGAACCATTTTAGGGATAAAATTATTAGCCCCTTTAAGCTATATTTTTTCTCGATATTCTACAGAACAAACCACTGTTATACAATAGCTTGCCTAATTCCCCTAACCTGCCTAGTAACCTTAATTAACCAAGTTAAGCCTTTAAATGTCACTTTAGGCTGTATAGAAGTGTCTTGAAAAATATGTAGTCAAAAATTATTTACAGCCAACATGGTAAAGATAAAATAAATCAGTTATTAGAAATGAGTTATTAAAATTATTGTTTAGAAATCTTCTCTCCGTTAAACAGATATTGGGGAAAAAATAAACAAGCGGTCTAATAATTTAGGGGGGCTAATAATTTTGACTTCAACTGTATATATATATATATATATAGTTGAAGTCAGAATTATTAGGGCCCCTTTGCATTTTTTTTTTTTCAAATATTTCCCCAATGATGTTTAACAGAGCAAGAAAATGTTCACAGTATGTCTGATAATATTTTTTCTTCTGGAGAAAGTCTTATTCGTTTTATTTTGCCTAGAATAAAAGCAGTTTAAAATGTTTTTAAAAACATTTTAAGGTCAAAATTATTAGCCCTTTAAACCTATATATTTTTTCGATAGTCAACAATGTAAATGCTTTTGACAATTGTTGTGCATTTGTGCTGGGGTGATCTTACATAAGGGTCTGTGACATCTAACAGATTGAAAACCTCTGCTTTAACATCAAGCCCAGATTATGTTTAACTATTGTACATAGTGTAATTAATTACCAAGAAATCAGCAGAAAACTGATTGTGCAATGTAATCCACCTTCTAAATGTAAACATGAAGAGTACAAATATTCACATACCTTAGTATGGCGGTTAAACCGTGTATAATTGTGGCTTTGCCTTATAGGTGTGGTTTCAAAACCGGCGGTCTAAAGAACGTAGAATGAAGCAGCTCAGTGCTCTCGGTGCTCGACGACATGCTTTCTTCAGGGGACCACGAAGAATGAGGCCTCTCGGAGGAAGACTAGAGGACCCCGACATAATGGGCCCTGGAGGATACAGCTACTACGGAGGTACATAAACACAAAGCATGTTTTCACAACACACTAATAAACAGTAATGGGTTTAGTCCTTCAAACACATATGCTGAATCTTCAGGGCTTTTCCCTTACCTTGAAGGCACAAAGCAGTTTCTCTTGCAGTAAAAAGGATGCTTCAGAAGGTTGGATCATCTCTTTATTGCAGAGCTGTGAGAATTAAAACACATTAGAGGTCACTGGAGTGTTAGACATTGCATCTCTATCACAAGTCCAGAGAAATTTAAATGGGGTATATGCCGAAGCATGCTAATAGGACTTTTAATTTGCCATTACCTGGGTTAAGCGCTTCCGGCAAATTGAATGCCAATGCAAAATCCGGTGCGTTTAAGGTCTGTTTTCTTTAAAAATCCGCGATCTCCACCAGCTGAGTGATATCCAATTTAAAGTGGGTCTCAGATTGTACAAGAAGCACTGCATTTAATTAAATTTCCCCCGCCATATCTTTATTATATGAGTATTTATTTTATCCCAGTATGTTCAATGGAGCTTCTGCGTTAGCCTGCCGATTCTGACGGGTGCATGCAAGTAAACGGCTTTTTGTCTCGTTTTAAGCTTGAGCAACTAAATAAATGCTAAAGTTTATTTAACTGAATGTATTTTAATGACATTACAACATCGATGATTTATAAGTAACCATATAAAATGAGAAAAAGTTCACAATAACAGGTCACCGGAAGTGTATCAGCATGGGAACAGCACTAGCTCGGCATATGCCCTACTGTATAGCTGTTGTGTGGAGATCCAACATGGTCACTTCCATTCATTTTTTTTTTTAACACACCAAATATCTCACATAATAACTAATCTTAGCAAGTAGTGCTGGACAATTTATCATTTCAGAATCGATATCACAATGTGTGAACATGCAATAGTCTCATTGCAGGATTAGCAATGTCAAGTTTGGATTCTAGTTGATGAGGACCACGGTTTCAGAACATGTGATATATTGGGTCATAGCAAAGTTTAACCTTAAGATAGAGTGAAAGATTCTCATTTTATTTTATTTTATTTTTAGTGACTAACTGACTTTACTTAAAAAATATGAGTAAACCCATTGTAACTTGGAACTGTTAAACTAAACTTTATTTTTATAATTACGCACTCAGATCATTTACTTGATATTTTTAAGGCAATGTGTTTTTTACTCCTTTTTTAAAGCTTTTTAGGTTATCAAAAAAAGCAACAGTTTTACTCAAATAATATTTTAAGTAAGGTCAACTAATAACTTTAAAATCAACAGTTTTACTAAATTTTTAAGTACAGTCAACTAAATGCTTTAAAAAGCAACAGTTTTACAAAAAAATAAAGTAAGGTCAACTAATAACTGTAAAAGCAAGTTTTACTCAGTTTTTTTTTAAGTAAGGTCAACTAATCTCTTTAAAAAGCAACAGTTTTATTCTTTTTTTTTAAAAGTAAAGTCAACTAATCACTTTAAAAGCAACAGTTTTACAAATTTATTTAAATACAGTCAACTAATTGCTTTAAAAGCAACAGTTTAACTCAGTTTTTTAGTAAAGTCAACAGATTGCTTTACATGCAACAACTTTACTCAATCTTTTAAAGTAAAATCAACAAATCATTTTTATGCAAAAAATTAAATCAGGATAATGCCTAGACTTTAAAAAAATGATATCGCTTAACTGTGTCTCATTTTCGACCGACTAACTTCTAATTCAAATCATTAAAAAAAAAAAAAAGACATCTTACATTTACATCAAATCTACTCCGTTGTCAAATTTGCATACTATTCATTCAGCAATGGTCATGATGTGATGTATCAATCTTCTACTAGCCACACGTCTTTACACGATTTGACCTCCCTGAGCAGAGTTTACCAAACTTGAAATTAGGGATGCTAAATAAATGCGAAACAACATTTGCACAAGCAGGCATAACAGGTTACCAGCAGTCAATTGTCGTGCAGGAATAGCAGACAGCGAAACCAAAAGTGTAAATACAGACTATTCCATAATTAATTTTAAAAATGCATTTAAATCCCTACATGGAGTGCACATTTCTAAAGCAAAAAGCTTTCCGTAAATGGAAATATGGATATACATACTGATCTCTGGAGGTCTGCCATTGATGATTCGACTATCTATCACTCAGCGAGCAAGTGGCGTTTCTTTACGGTAATATGTCTTTTGATGATTGATTAGCACATTAAAGTATCACAACTGCAGGAAAAAAATAATGGAATTGGGGAGGAATGTTAATGACTTTCTGTAGCACTAATTATATAGGCCATTCGCAAAGGTATGAAGGAGATCGAATATGAATACGTCAGTAAAAATGAACAAGCTCTCCTCAGATTTCCACCTTTATTTACGTCCTCTTTCATAAGACCATTTTCATTCATTAAAGTACTTTTACACGCTCATAATAAATCTTTTGGTCCTCTCCAGATGAAATTAGGCATCAAATAAAAGTGTTGCTTCTTTAGAATTAATTAAATGTCAACTTAAAAACACAATCTTTGTCTTGAATACTCCTGATTGAACTTTGATTTTCTCCCCGCAGAATACCAAGGTGACTATTACGGCCCAGTGGTCAACTATGATTTCTTCCCTCACGGACCCCCTTCCTCACAGGCACACTCTCCAGCTGAATCCCCTTATCTTCTCAGCTCGGGTTCAGGAGCCCTGGAGGGTGGCCCGGTCTCTGCTCACCACCCCTCAGATGACCAAAGGTTCACGGACATGATATCCCATGCAGACACCCCTAGTCCCGAACCAGGCATGACTGGACCTCTCCATTCCAATCCACAGGGGGAAGGTGGATTCACAGGGAGTCCACCCTTCCCCCTGGCCAACAATACCAGTTACAGCGGCCCAATGTCCCATCCTGGTCAAGAGATGGGGGAGAACACTGTTTGGTAGGACAGAGACAATAAGACTCTATGGACACAGAGGGGATTCCAACCTAACCAGTCTACCTTAGTGGTCTACCAAGGGAGGGCTTATTGGCTGTTCATGGACCAGAACACACCAACATTTGGACCATAAACCTGAGAGATGGACTGACATCATGTGCTCTCTCTTGCAGTTTAGGTTCTGCTATCAAAGGATGTGTATTGTCAGTGGTCACCCTGGTTTGAGTGCGTTCGCAAAGGTTTATTACGATTACATCACAATCAAGATGTTTGTCTGAGGGATTTTTCTACTGCTTTGACTTACTCATTAGCAACCGCATCTGATGGTCAGAAGTGAGCTAGTACTTAAAGGCAAATCCATTTTCATCCTTCTGTTGGCTTCAGTTTCTTTCTTTTCCAAGACACAGAGGCTCAGTTGGTTCAAATGTTTTCTTTTCTGTCTTACAACAGGTCCATTTGTAACATATTTGGTTCATTCATTAACTGACGAATTGGTTCATTAAACATTTCAATGAACACCCAGCATACCTGCGTTCTGATGAATCTATGGTTGTCATAACATGTTTTGGTCTAATTAAATATCTGAGACAGAATTAGCTTGGAGGTTCAACGAATCGAATATTACAACCACACTGCTGTGTAGCCTTAAAGGGATAGTTCATACAAAGATGACAATTCTGCCATCATTTACTCAATCTTCACTTGTTTAAAACCTGTTTGAGTTTCATCTCTTTTCCACAAAAGGAATTTCAATGTGGTCCCATGGCCCATGAACCTGCTTGTTATCAAACTATTTTGTAACTGTGACAAGAAGTAATTCAATCATAACTTCATGTTAAAACAGCTATCATAACATTATTCATCGATATGTGGCTCTTTCTGGATTCTCGGGAGCTATAGAAATTAAAAATGTAAAACAGAAAATTCATTTGGAACCATTGTTTTTGTTTACATCCCCCAAAACGGTCTATAGTATCCCCCCCAACCGACTACGGAGGAAGTACCAGCAAACATCATTGACTCAACTTAAAACTGTAAGACAACTTGCTACACAGCTTTTTTGAGTTGACTCAATATTTAACTCAAAGACTGCACTTGACTTAAGTAAAGTTGAGTCAATAAAAAAAAAGCTCTGCAGCAAGTTGCCTTACAATTATAAGTTGAGTCAACATTTGTTTTGTTTTTGCACTTACCACAGTTTACCCATTTTCCTAAACTAACCATAACGTTACCATGGAATTTGTAACAAAACTGCGGTTGCTCAATAATCAATAAGGGGGAAAGAGTATCAAATAGACCCAAGAGCTTGCAATTCATGACTTTTCGAAATCCAATAACCAACAAGCAAGTCAATAATTAATACATATTTCTAATAAGTTTGTATGTAATAACAATGATATCCCTACTGAAAAAACAGCTTAAACCAGCTTAGGCAGGTTGGCTGGTTTTAGAGGGGTTTTGACCATTTCCAGGCTGGTTTCCAGCCATTTCCAGCCTGGTCTTAGCTGGTCAGGCTGGGAGATGACCAGCTAAAACCAGCTTCACCAGCCTAGTTAGGCTGGGAGCCCAGCCAATATGTCCAGTTTAAACCAGGCTGGTCAAGCTGGTTGACCAGGTAAGGCTGGAAATAGCTGGAAACCAGCCTGGAAATGGCCAAAACCCCACTAAAACCAGGCTGGTCAACCAGCTAAAACCAGCCAACCAGCTTAGGTTGGTTTAAACTGGATTTTTCAGCAGGGATACAAATGTTTGTAACATCCTGTGACAACAAAATGCCAACTATAAAGTACTGACTACATATGAATACTTTTGTTTACAATAAGTAGTTTTTATGGTAAGACTAATTGTTTAATCAATTAATATTAATAATAATTTTGTTAACTCAGTTCAATGAAATCGTCATTATTGTTTGTGACGCCCCACAATTGCAACGACAAAATCAGTAAACATCGGATGTATTTTATGCATTCTATCATTCTCTATTTATTTCTAACGGTCTTCACATTAATACAAACAAACAAACATGTGAACCTGCAACATATGGAGACATCTGCCTTCTGAAAGTGCTCCCTATCCACCGCCTCAACTGGAGTCAGCTGCAGTCTTCAGGATGGAGGCCTGTGATCTGTCATTGAGAAGCTCGCGGAAACGCCTGACAAGCCTGTGCGTTGTTCAACTTCATTTAACCTTCGCTTTAGTACCTTCCTTTGAAAAAAAATGTTTTAATGGAAATGATTTTCTAAAGAACATTGAGGCCATAATGAAGAATCTCCTTTAACAGCTGAGGTCTCTCTACTCAATGGGGGGAAAACAAAAGGACGGGACAGGCAACATCTGTGACTTACCACTGCAGGCCGAAGAGCCTCCAGACTGAAAGCAGGCGCCATCTGATGGGCTAGTGAAGAAAAACAATTGTCTAGACAAATGTCACCTAGAAATAGGGAGCATAATAATATTGTATGCTTTTAATAAACTAGATTTGATACTGGAGAGAAATGTGGGAACTTGCACTACGGTGTGGGCTTGAAGTGTACCAAAAGGGGAGTATAAAAAGGCTTGTAATTTTTAAAGATTTTTTTATTTTAAAGTTAAATAGAGTTGTTACCTGGAGAAACATAACATTAATCACAATAACATATATAGTTTTAGAAAATAGTCTTAGTATAAGCTGTAAAATATGTAATTATTTTATCGTTATTATTAAACTAAATATTTAATCAGGGGCGAAGCAGTGGCGCAGTAGGTAGTGCTGTCGCCTCACAGCAAGAAGGTCGCGGGGTTGCTGGTTTGTGCCACTCCCTAGGCTCAGTTGGTGTTTCTGTGTGGAGTTTGCATGTTCTCCCTGCATTCGCGTGGGTTTCCTCCGGGTGCTCCGGTTTCCCCCAGAGTCTAAAGACATGCGGCACAGGTGAACTGGGTAGGCTAAATTGTCCATAGTGTATGAGTGTGTGTGTGTGTGGATGTTTCCCAGAGATGGGATGCGGCTGGAAGGGCATCCGCTGCGTAAAAACTTGCTGGATAAGTTGGCAGTTCATTCCGCTGTGGTGACCCCGGATTAATAAAGGGACTAAGCCGACAAGAAAATAAATGAATGAATATTTAATCAGTGACCATTGAAACTGGGCTTTTTAATAATTTTAAACTGCTCATATAAAATAAATCTGTGAAGTTTTAAATAAATTAAACATGAAAAAAACATCAGAAAAAAACACCAAAAAATAAAGCAATCTTAGATAAAAAAAAAACACCAAACAAAACAAATCACCAAAGTTTTAAAACAAACAAACCACTAAACAAAACAAATTCCTAAAGTTTTAAAACAAAACAAACCACCAAACAAAACAAATTGCTAAAGTTTTAAAACAAAACAAACCACCAAACAAAACAAATTGCCAAATAAGGCACAAAACAAAATAAACATACGCAATCAAACAAACTAAAAAACATCAGAAAATCAAAAACACCAAAAAAAAAACAATCTTTGATCAACATAAAAAACTAATTTAATCACCAACAATTTACCAAACAAAACAAATCCATAAAGTGATCACTAAGCAAAACATGAACAATATTACAGCCTATCAAACAAATCTTAGAACTCAAACAAAACCAAATGTCAAAAGATGCAAAACATAAACAATCTTACAGCCTAACAAACAAGTCATTAATCATAGAACCCAAATCAAATGTCCAAAGATGTCACACCAACAAAACAAAAACAACAAAGAAAAGTTACCAAACAATCAAAAAAAAAAAAAAAAAAAAACAGCAAAATACTTTCTCAATGCCCTGCACAATACAAAACTTCTCACCAAAAAGTCACATCAAAGTGACCAAAACATGCTAAAAATTTAAATTAAAATTATCAAATGAGTCACTAAACCAAGGCAAAGCAAGTTCTAAAGAGCCAGGTTTAATCATGCCAGTTTCTAGTCAAAATCTTTCTAGTAAAACCCACCAAACAAATCACCAATAAAAAAACACAAAACAAAAACAAAGAAATAAACCAAAAAAGTCACTAAACAAAAACATATGTACACATCATTTTTAATCATCAAATGATTCACAATACAAAACATAATTTTAGAACCCACTAAACAGCTGATCAAAACAAAAAGACACAAAATATAAACACAAAAAACAAACCATAAAACCAAAGGAGTCAATGAACAAAACATAAAAAAATAGAGCCTAGTCAGCCTACCAAACAAAAATGTACTAAATAAATCAAGCCATCAAACAAAACGAAATATGCATACTAACAATAGAATAATAAATAAACAAATTGCTATTGAGTTTTTGGGCTTTATTGGGTTTTTAAAATTGTCCTTTGTGTATTGCAGTCTACTTGTTGGGCATAAAAGAGTTCGGCAAAACGATAACAATTTTGGAAAGTTTGACACATCTAGAGTACCATTTATCTACAAATCTCCAACATACATTGTTAGCATACTTTGTTTTTGTTACTTCCTACATGAGAATACAATATGCTTTCTAATATGAATAACCACAATTATAGTTTCTAAAGGAAAGTCCTCATATATTCTCTCTTAAATGTGCCTTTGCATTGTGAACTTCACATGGATCTGCTTTCATGCCCAACATGTTTTCAAGGTTACGACTCTTATTACTCATGCATTTAGAGACTTGCAGTTCCCCCTCCTTGTCTCGGTGGGCTCAGGTGGGCCTGTGGAGGACCACGCAGGCCCCAATTTTCCCCCTGACTGGTTTTAACATAAGGGGTAATGTGAGAGGAGCAGGAACGGGGCTCTTCCACCCCGTCTCCTCCCCCAGAGGGAGACTCCGAGCCGGGCTGGATCCCGCATGCAGACCCTCCTGCCGTCGAGAACGTGGTCTTCAGTGCCACCATAGCATTACTGACTGCCATATCCCTCTATTATTTACTTCTCCTCCTTGTCTATGTTTGCTCCCTGGAGTCTGCCAGCACCGGCTCTCGGTAGTCGAGGCAGAATAGAGGTCTTTATCTCACGGAGGAGACGGGGACGAGCAGGAGCTTGGGGACTGAAAAATATACACATACACAACTAGTCAAAGTTCAGTAAAGGTTATATTGGAGGTTCAACAATTATTTGATCAAAAATATAGTAAATTTGTGAAATATTTTTTTACAATTTAAATTACCAGTTTTCTTAATGAATGTGGTTTAAAATGTAGTTTATTTCTGTGGTTTGAAGCTGAATTTTCAATTTTATAAAGCCCGTCTTCAGAGTCGAATGATCCTTCAGAAATTTGCTGCTCAGTTATTTTTATTATTATTATTGTTATCAAACTGTATATATACAGGCTTATAACTTCAACTGTGTGTGTTTGTGTGTGTGTATATATATATTTATATAGCTGAAGTATATAAATACATACACACACACACAACCAGCCTTCAATCACAGAAATGAATGATAAATGAAAATGTAATAAATTCCCAGGACTTCTTAACATTATTGTACTTTAAGTGTCACTTTACTGGATTTAACTGTTAAATTTTACGTATTCAGAATTTTATTG